TTTATGTGGAGTGTTACCGAGGACAAAATAGTGTATAGGTTTTATGTTCAAATGTTCTAATTTCATGATTTTAACTGATAAAATGTGGAAAACCATTTGTGAAATATATGTAAAACATAACAGTTTAAAATCCATTTCACAAATATATGTTTACATGATCTGCATGTTCAAACGGTCATCAGTTGTAGCAATCAGTGTTAAAAGCATATAAAATGTAAAACACACACATGAAAACATGTTTTGAGTACAAGTAATCCCTTGTACTTTGCTTGTGTTCCCCCCTGAAAACAGTGAAAACAGTGAAAAAGGGTAGGGGTATGAACTCACCAGGCTAGGAAATGCGACGGTTTCGGACACTAAATGTTGGTTCGGGGTCTGATTACTCGTGATGTCCCTCTTTGATTTGGAGCCTTAAATCTATGTTTTTGGACCTTAATCTTGGATGAGGAGAGAGGTTAGAGAGAGAGGGAGTAATGAGATGAATCCAGAAGCTTCAAATTAAGGCTTAGAGCACTTTATATAGTGTCTAAGTTTTGGACACGGTGGAATTCTACCCGATACCGGCGTTAGGCGAGGTTTTTGGTCGCACCCGATTAGGTTGTCATAACCCGATACGATAAATTCTAAAAATGTTCCGATTACTAGAATGGGGTGTTAGAATGGTTTCTAAATGCATTAAGACACTCATTAAGTCATGTTAGATGCATACAATTTAATGACTTAATTAAATAACGAAATCGGAATCGGATTTGAAAACGGCGATTAGTTGATCGAATTGAATTGCGAAAAGAGTTACAAGTAATGATACAGAAATTTCGGGTTGTTACATTATCCCCCCGTTAGAGGGAATTTCATCCCGAAATTCAAAGTTAACACATGAGACAAGATACAAATCATGGATATGGAAAGAGTTGTGGATACTTCTGTTTCATTGAGTCTTCCCGCTCCCAAGTGAATTCTGGTCCCCGCTTGGCATTCCAGTAAACCTTCACTAACGGGATGCTACTTTGCTTCGTACGTTTGACTTCTCGGTCCATGATTTCGATTGGTTCCTCCACAAAGTTGAGGTTTTCATTGATCTCGATCTCATCTATGGGAATCACTAGGGTTTCATTGGATAGGCACTTTTTGAGATTTGAGACATGGAAGACAGGATGAATGTTACTGAGTTCGTGAGGTAAACGAAGTTTATAGGCTACCGGACCAACCCTGGTGAGGATCTTGAAGGGTCCAATGTACCTAAGGTTAAGTTTCCCACGTTTACCAAAACGTACAGTTCCTTTCCAGGGCGAGACTTTCAACATGACACGATCTCCAACCTGGAATTCTAGAGGTTTCCGACGATTATCAACGTAACTCTTTTGGCGATCTCGTGAAGCTTTCAATCGGTCTCGGATTTGGATGATCTTTTCGGTGGTTTCGCGGATGATTTCAGGACCAGTGAGAGCACTGTCGGGGACTTGACTCTTGGCTAACTGTGTATCCCCCACTTCGGCCCAGCACAAAAGGGATCTGCACTTACAACCGTATAGGGCTTCAAACGGAGCAGCCCTGATGCTGGTGTGGTAACTGTTGTTGTATGAGAATTCGATCAAAGATAGATGTGTGTCCCAAGAATTTCCAAAGTCAATGACTCATGCCCTAAGCATGTCCTCCAGGGTTTGGATTGTTCTCTCACTCTGTCCATCGGTCTGAGGATGATACGCCATGCTCATATTTAGTTTGGTTCCAAGGGCTTTCTAAAGGGACTGCCGGAATCTGGAGGTAAACCTGCTATCTCGATCAGAGATAATGGACACAGGTACACCGTGCAGTCGAACTACCTCCTGGATGTAGATTCGCGCGAGTCTTTCCATCTTGTATGATTCTTTGATCGAAATGAAGTGAGTAGATTTTGTTAAACGATCGACAATTACCCAAATGGTATCGTACCCACAAGGACACTTGGGTAGTTTGGTGATGAAATCCATGGTAATCATCTCCCATTTCCATTTGGGTATCTCGTGTTGTTGGAGCAGACCCGAGGATTTCTGGTGCTCAACTTTGACTTTGGCGCAAGTCAGACACTTGCCGACGAACGTAGCTATCTCAGCTTTCATGTTTGGCCACCAATATTGTTTCTTTAGATCCAGGTACATCTTGTCAGAACTCGGGTTGACCAGAGTATTTGGTTTTGTGTGCTTCCTCCATGACAATTTCCATGAATCCTCCAGACTTTGAAATCCAGATCTGATCCACGAAACAATAGACTTCGTCACCTCTGATCTTAAGTTTCTTTTCCATTCCTCTCAAGGTTTCGATCAAGACGTTATCAGGTTTGAGGGCTTATAACTGGGCTTCTCGGATTTGCATCGGTAAGTTGGAATGGATAGTCATCGTCTAGTTCTTCACTTTGTGGCCTGCACTTTCCTTTCGGCTAAGGGAATCTGCTACCACATTGGCCTTGCCTGGATGGTAACAGATTTTACACTCATAATCACTGAGTAGTTCTACCCATCGCCGTTGCTTCATGTTCAAGTCTTTCTGATCAAAGATGTGTTGCAGGCTCTTGTGATCAGTGAAGATTGTGCACTTGGTTCCGTAGAGATAATGTCTCCAAATCTTCAATGCAAAGACTACGGCTCCTAGTTCCAAGTCATGTGTGGTATAGTTGACCTCGTGTGCTTTTAGCGGTCTTGAGGCATAAGCAATCACTTTTCCTCTTTGCATAAGCACACAGCCTAAGCCTTGATTAGACGCATCGCAGCACACAACGAAGTCCTCTATCCCTTCGGGTAGGGACAGAACAGGCGCACTGCATAAGGCTCTCTTCAACGTTTGGAATGCAGTTTCTTGTTTATCACTCCAACAAAAGGGTACACCTTTCTGTGTTAGAGTGGTTAAGGGTTTGGCGATTTTGGAAAAATTCTGGATGAATCTCCGATAATAGCCGCCGAGACCCAAGAATTGACGGATTTCTGTGGGTGTCTTCGGTGCCGACCAATTCTCTATCGCTTTAATCTTGGAAGGATCCACATGAATATCCTCCTCGCTTACCATGTGACTGAGGAAAGTTACCTTCCGTATCCAGAATTCACACTTGGAGAATTTCGCGTATAGCTTTTCGGATCTAAGGGTCTCCAATACTAACCTCAAGTGTTGCTTGTGGTCTTCTTCGCTCCTTGAGTATACGAGAATTTCGTCAATGAACACGATGACGAACTTGTCTAAGAAGGGACGGCACACCCGGTTCATCAGGTCCATGAACACAGTTGGTGCATTGGTTAGACCGAAGGGCATCACTACGAACTCGTAGTGTCCATACCGAGTCCTGAAAACTGTTTTGGAAACATCACTCTCCTGAACTCGTAACAGATGGTACCCTAACCGAAGGTCTATCTTTGAGAAGTAGCTGGCTCCCTGGAGTTGATCGAAGAGGTCATCTATTCGCGGAAGAGGTTATCGGTTCTTAACGGTCAACTTGTTCAGCTCACGGTAGTCGATACACATTCGAAAGGATCCATATTTCTTCTTGACAAACAATACCGGAGCTCCCCAGGGTAAGGAACTCAGTCTAATGAATCCTTTACTGAGCAACTCATTGAGTTGACTAAATAACTCCTGCATTTCTGCTGGAGCTAAGCGATACGGAGACTTCACTACGGGAGTAGCTCTAGGAATTAGGTTAATACGGAACTCGACCTGACGCTCGGGAGGAATTTATAGTTATTTCTAATTATTTAAAATTATTTAAGACAACTTTAAAAGAATTTTAATTTTATTTCATAAAGTTATACAATTTAATTAGTGACCTTAAACAATTATTTTAATGGTTTTGTTGCGCCTACTATCTTGCTGGGTGTGAGTTTCGTGTTTCCCTTATTATTAGGGTTGTAAACAAACCGAATGAACACGAACGAGGCTTGTTCATATTCATTCGTTTAAGTTATCTGAACAAATAAACGAAAATGAACGGATAAACAAACGAGTTTTATTGTTCATGTTCGTTCGTTTGACAAATTGTGTTGTTCATGTTGGTTCGTTTATGTTCGTGAAGATGCAAAATAAACAAAAATAAACAAACATAATTCAAACATAAGTAAACATAAATAAACATATAATATGGTAATGTAATTAAATACAATTAAGCATATGTGAACATCAAAAGAACTTATATTAACGAGCTTAAAAAAGTGTAAACGAAATACATAAACGAACGTTCACGAATATAATTGAAAGATCAAGATCATTGTTCATGTTCATTCGTTTAGCTAAACGAACGACAATTAGTGTTCAATTTTGTTCATTTATTACATAAATGAACATAAGTGGACTTCCGCCGTGAACTGTTCGCTTCGTTTACAACCCTACTTCTAATAGTATTTGTCATTCCCCAAAAAAAAAAAAAAAAAAAAAAAAAAAAAAAAAAAAGTACATAATCGTCAATGTACAAATAAAAATTAATGATTCAACTTTTTCTTTCATGCCAGAAAATATATCAACTACTATTAAATTGACGTATTTATGATTCCTATATTTACACATTAAAGTAAATACACATACAATTTCCTAAATTCCGAGACATTTATTTCACTAGTCTGAAACTACATAACATACTTCTCTTGAATTTTTAAGTTAAAATTTAACATCTAAATACCACATCATAATACAATAATACGCATCAATAAACGAAATTGAAATTTTCAACAAAGTTTCTAAAAAACCAAACTGTAATTTTCATTCATAGTCTGCTAGTCCTGTCCACCTTTGTAAAGGAGCTATACATTCTTTTCTCCTACAAATGTGAACGTGACTAGCATTTGTACTTGACGGAGTACATAAGATAATGTTATTACTGTTCTAATTACTACTAGGTATTACTTTACAATTCTTTTCAACTAACTATAGTAATTAAAAACAAAAAAAAAATCTCGCGAAAACATGAAAAAGATGTTCAAATAAACCTTGAACTAACGACCACCCAAACCCCCCAAAAACAACTAAAAAGTGCGACAAAAAGGCTAGAAGAAGTCATCACTTTCTTCTAATGATATATTCATAAGGTCACCTTGGGTAGAAGCCTCATCAAAAAGCCATTTCTCTAACAAACTAAGAGGGGGCATTTGATTTTCCATGCTTGGTTTACTTTCATCTTGGAACCTACTTGTTTCTGGGGAAACCGATTGAGAAATATCAGAATTGCTGTAATTCGAGTAGTAGTTGTTTATTTGATTGTTGTGGATCATGTTGTTACTGTTGCCAAATTGCACCGAGTTGTCATATCCTTCACTTGGAGGGCTTGTTAACTGCTGGGTGATCAGGGAACTCTGTGTCTGCTTTGTCTCAATGCTTTCAGAGCTTGTCTGTGGAGATTTCTTGGAACATTTCATCCAGTCTGGGAGCAATCGTGCGATGTTCTCAGCACTAGAAGCATAAGTAGCTGTGGATTGATTCGATGAGAGTATCACCGATTCAGATTTCCCTGAAGTAGTGGCTGAAGATGATACAGGTAGATTAATGGTTTTGTTGTCAATAGATAGAGCATCACAAAGGGCTTGTTTCGCCATATGTATATCAGTTTGGAGCCTTCTTTCCCATTGACCTTTGTACATGGTTTCGTATGATGATGATGATGATGAGTGACACCCATGATGATGATGGTGGGTTTCTTGATCAGTGTCTTCATGGAGCTTGTCGAGCTTCTTCTTTAGATGGGTATTCCAGTAATTCTTGATATCGTTATCGGTTCTTTGTGGAAGATAAGAAGCTATTGCTGCCCATCTGCGATAAAAGATAAAAATATAAAAATCCGTCCTTTGTGACATAAACAATTAAATTCAGATTCTAGAGAGAAAAATCTATACCTATTGCCAAGAAGGGCTTGAAGATGGATAATCATCTTCTCCTCTTGCTCGGTGAAGTTGCCACGTTTGATTCCAGGCCGAAGATAATTGGTCCAACGCAGTCTGCAACTCTTGCTGCATCTTAGCAAACCTAAATTCACAAGAACATGTAATTATCACCCATTTAACAAAAAGTCGATGATAATTAATAATCACAGAAAAAGTTAAAGTTCAGTGATGAAGGTTGCAGGATACAATAAATACCCTAATTTAATGAACCAGCCAACCCTCCTTTAAATAAAAGAAATACAAAACTACAACAAAAACCCAAGATCTAACAACATAAAGTAAGTAAATAGACAGATTTTTAAATCAACATAGTAGAAATTAAGTGTACCAGTATTGGTAGGAACAGATCTCCAATTTCCCGGACCATTTTGTTGAATATAAGAGACTAGGGTTATATCTTCTTCGGGAGTCCATGGACCTTTCTTCACGCCTATCTTATCGCAGCAAGGTGGTCTTCCCATCGAACCAGCGACTAGATGATGATCCAGGATCAATCTTTTTTTTTTAATCAATATTCTCACCGACTGTGTGTGTGTTGTAAGTGTTTTTCTGACTCAAAGTGATGTATATGACTTTAGTTTCTTGTCATTCAGCGAAAGAGAAAAATGGCAAGACAAGAGTCTTTGGGTAGCATCCCTCACGGCTTCTACACTATATATAGATATCAAGAAAGAGATAAGAGAGAGAGAGAGAGAGAGAGAGAGAGAGAGAGAGAGAGAGAGAGAGAGAGAGAGAGAGAGAGAGAGAGAGAGAGAGAGAGAGAGGATCAGCAAGAGGTGGTGACGACTCTACACGCTGACCAAAGAAGTGAGTTGAAAAAAAGCAAAAAAAATGGCTTCTCTCTCATGAAAGACTCAGCAAGGAGTCAAAAGAAGCCAGCACGAAGCATTTACTTCTGTTTGCAAAAAGTCAGCTGTATGCTTCATGCAGATGGAGATATAGATAGACCAAATCAAAAGATAAACCACTCTAGAGAATGTTAACGAACAAAAATGTTGATTAATAGGTTCCCAGTCAGCATTTTTACCAAAAAAAAAAGGTTAATATATAAAAAGCACAAAGGGAAGGAACTTGAAAAGTAAAAACTACCCTCAATTTTCAGTTTTATACAAGCATAATAGGATTTAAAAATATAATCCCATCAACTCATGGGAAAAAATTCAAATATTGTTGATAACAAAATAGAAATAATAATAATAATAATAATAATAATAATAATAATAATAATAATAATAATAATAATAATAAAACTAAGGGTTCAAAAGTTATTGTTTTGGAATTTTAATATATTGCTACCACTTTATAAGTTCCAAACTCGGACACTAATCATTGCATACAATTATTTGGAGACTGATTGACAATTTTTTGAACAATGACTTATTAAGGGATAATTTTGTATATACTTTTATTAAATAACAAATTAATATTTGTCCAATTTTATTTTTAAACATTGTATTTTACTTTTATAAATTTTTAGAATATCATATATCATCATTTTTAAACATCAAAATATGGTAAGTGTCATTTTTAAATATCAAAATATCATATATGTTATTCTTAAACATCAAAATCAATGGGGATATATAAAGTATCATCCATCAATAAAATGAAAATAATCAACAATAACAAAAACTAAGCAATCAGTGTATAGATTTTATTAAAATGTATAGATTTTATTAAGAGCGTTGAAGATGATTCATTTTGTTTGTCAAGATGGTAATATTCCAACAATTTCGAAGTAAACTTTCAATTATTATAAATTTAGGGACAATATGCTTACCTTTCATAATCACTATAATAACTCAAATATATAAAAATAATTATAAGCTACTCAACATATATATATATATATATATATATATTATATATATATATATATATATATATATATATATTGACAAATATGATACTGTAAATGCTTATAAATGGTAAATATGATATTAAGAAATTAAACTTTGAAAATATGATATTTTGATGTTTCAGAAAGACATATGTGAAATTATTCCTGTTACTAAAGATCAAGGTTCTAAAAGTCGTTAGTCGTTGGTCGGACGGTCGACTGGGTTAAAGGACTAATTTGTCTATGCGAAGATTAATCGGTGCCTAAACGAATCATTTAAATCATAAAAATAAACGACTTAATTGTAATAAAAATAAACGGATCGAAACCCTTAATTGTAATAGAATTTATTTTTATTTTTTTAAATTAAATATTACCTATACCTACGAAAATAAGTAAATAACCATAAAACTTTAACATATTCAATCCTCTAAATATTTAAATCAACGATATAATAATTTTTAAACTAATTTGGGGGTTTTTTAATAGTTTTATGTATCAATCATCATAATTTAGTCACCAAATATCATAAATTTGACTAGTCGGAGAATATTTTTTAATAATTTTGACTGTCTGATGTTTTTATCGATTTAGACTGTCTAGACCGTCTACAGCAGATCTAGGACCGACTCTGCCTAACTCGACTACTAGCATTAATCACAGACAGTAAGAGGCCACCTAGCGCCTAGGCGAACTCCTAGACCGATTTTTACATCACTGCTAAAGATTCTAGGTAGATGTTAGACGAAATGATTAGCGGAGATGGTTTGGGGACATTTCAAGGCTATTTATGGTAAACCCTTTACGTAAATTCATTGAATCAAAACTGCACCTTCATGAATCTTAGATGAATTAGTGGAACAATTGAGCTCTAATAAAAATTATTTATTATTTTATTTGGCTGGAAAGCAACTCTTAAAAAAGGCTTTGTTAATTAAAAAGGGTTGTTGGTATTTCTTTTAGTCTTTCTGTAACTATGGTTCTATTGAGGAGTTAATTAACATATCACTTGCTTGTTACATGTAGCTTTATACAATAAATACTTAGTCGCGTTACCTTTTGGTGTGGGTTACAACCTCTAGTAGCAACAAAGGTGAAGGTTTGCATCGATTAGATACACTTTAAGTACAATTAAAAAAGAAGAAACTAACTAAACTAAATAAAGAACAGTAAAAGTAAAGAACATGAATTAATCATAAGGATGTCTTTCACTAAGAAAGGGGTTGTTCTCACCAAGAGAACGATTATCAGAAAGACGGTCACCAAGATGTACACATTAGGGTTTCACCCTAACGATGAATATACACTAAACTATACTAGTATATCCCTTGAATCAAGGGATTAAGTCTAATCTATAATAATAATTGATCCTTATCACCAAGATATCATATTTGTTATATATTCAATACATATCAGTATAACCGCATAATATGCAAAGATTACATAAGATCACTATCTAGACCCTGACGTTGATAAGATCTTGAGGCGTTGGCGCTGATGTTGATGTTAGTGTTGGCGCTGGTAGTTAGCCTGTAAAGCGTTTGACTCATCAGATCATAAGGTGTGACCTTACAATCTTCCCATATTAGATGATGTCAAAACTAATCTTCTTTAGAGGCGTCATCAAAAGAACCATTGTAGAATTTATCAGCTTCTTTTAAGATTTCAGGCTTTACCTACCTGAATTCATCAATTTGAAGATCTTCAAATCTTTTTCTAAGCTTAAGAGAAATCAGCTCACAATATCATCTTTCAAGTTCATTATGACGAATTCTCCATGCTAAGATGATATAAATTCTCAGTAGGTGCAGCAGGAAGATCATCAGGGAGTTGAAAACACATGTTTTGACTATCAAGATAGAAAATACCATCTTCTGGTCTTGAATGAACATGTGTTGAACTGGGTCAACAGCCACTGGAAGAGTGTTGTTGATGCAGTGAGTGCCATCACGAATAAGAAACTTAGTATGCTTGGACATTCTAGGGGTGCCTGTTTTTCCTGAAGAGGATAATCTAGATGGACCACTTGATGGCACAAGATTCAGTTTTTTGACTTTGTTAAGTAACTGTTGAATTGCTAATTTTACCTCCTTAGCATAGAGATGGAAACGGGGGCGGGAAATACAGGGGACCCCAATCCCCATCCCCATCCCCAAATTCTTATTGCAATCCCCATCTCCATCCCCGTCCCCATCGGGGAATATAAATTAACCCCTATCCCCACCCCCAACAAGGACTGGAGATCCCAAGCGGGGAATCGTGGATTTATTTTCCTCTTTTAATTTGAAAACTTTAACATAAAGAAAATCTCTAAATTTCAATTTTACGAGCATAAGTTTAAAAAATTACAAAAATATAAACAAATCCATAGATTGCACAAAAAATATAAACTAATTTTCTACCAAATTTAAATAAATTCATGAAAAATAAAGTAAAATTTTTATCATAGTAATATTTGAGGTAAAATAGATAAACCAAATAGAAAAAGAGTATACATGAGTTTAAATTATTTAAAAGAAAAAGAAAATGTATAATCTCAACCAAATAATTGCTAATGAGTTATGTTACTTGGATCAAATTGTATGTATTGTAAATTGTATTGTAAATATATGCTTGTATTACTTTTATATATTAATATATATCGGGGGCAAGTCCAGGGTCGGGGATTAGGGGTATCCCCATCCCCATCCCTATCCCCACTTTTTTATTTGGGGATTCCCCATCCCTGTCCCCATCCCCGGTCAACTAGGGGATTCCCCAATCAAAACGGGTGTGAGTTTCGGGTTCCCCATTGGGTATGGGGTTTTTTGCCATCCCTACCTTAGCATGAATACCTTTATATTTATCAATAATTTCCTGAAGTTGTATCCGGTCGATGAAGCCAAAGTTTACTAGCTCACGAGAAAGTACAACCTCAAGATATTCATACTCAAGCATCTTCATGGCCAAATGAAGCTTCAATAACTCGTTCTTCGATTTAGTGCACCTTAAACTGATGATGTAATCAAGTTTTGATCTACGAGCTAGAACATATCCAAACATCTTTCTATTAATCATGTCATTCAGTAGAAGCAAGAGTTTGGGAAAGTTTAAACATTAGAGCTTTAAACATCAGCACTTTAATCAGTAGAAGCAAGAGTCTGGGCAAGTTTAATGGACCGACGTTCTTTTTTTCTATCTTGAATAATTGCATTATGGTCCATCATAATTTTTGTAAATTCCTCAATAGTTATATCTGTATCTTTAGCTGAATCATTCAGATCAACAGTAAGCTTGATTTTCATGGAAGGAGGAAGGGAAGGAGAATCACTAGCGGTAGAAGAGCTTCAGGTTTCATCGTCCTTGGCTCACCCTTGAGAAGGAATCCTTCCTCTTTCTAGGATTAACTTGTTCTTCCTTATATTTTATGTCGTTGTGCGTTCCTTGAGGAATCTCCCCCTCAAAATACGAATCAGGATAAACAATACTAAAAGGAATAGTATCCAGTGTCATAAACCCCATGTCAAGAAATCCTTCATAGTCATTAGTCTCAGAATGATCACTAGTTTTAGGGATAGGCTGATCATCGTTTGTTGCATCAGCATCTGGGATGTGGCTCTCTTGTTTAGCTGCAACAATTTCCTTTTGATTATCATCCCTACTTGATTCAAACATTTTTGGCAGAGATGGAGTTATTGCATCCACCATTTGATGATCATTGCTCCCTTGACTATTATCCCTTTGCTGATTATAGCTCCCTTGACTATTCTCCCCCTTTTCTAGCATCATCAGTTTGGGGAAGGGAGCCAAGAGGTAGTAAAGGAGTGCGAGGAGGGGGATGAGATGGTGGAAGTGGATTTGATGATGAAGGTGGAGGTGGAAGATTATCACTTAGAGAAGTTGCTGGAGAGTCATCAATAAATATATTATCATAATCATCACCACCCAAGGTCATAATGTTTTTTATATCAGCCACATCATTTTCTACTCTAGTTAATATTTCTCCTAGAGATTTAGTTTACTGTACCAATAGAGAGATTTGAGGGAGCACAATAGCTTGAAAGTTGGAGCTGGATTCTCCCTGATAAAAAGAAGCAGCCTGAAGGGGTGTTGGCATAGGAGGAATAGTTGCAGCTCTTGGATCAGTGGATCAATAGTTTCCACTTGAGGTGGGGTTGATCCATGTTGTACAATATCATTTGCAGATGTAGTGGATGAAGAAGTATATGATAATAAAATGTGCTTGTTCAATCTTGGAGGAGAATTCATTCCTTAAAAGAGGCTTCTCCCGTATTAGTGGCAAGTTCATCTTCTTCATCTTCAACATCTTCTTCATCATTGGCGTCTTCTTCATCATCATCGCCTTCCTCATTATCTTCATCTTCCTATTCTTCATAGTCAGAGGATTCAAAAGTGTAGGAATTTTCAATCCAGTTTGCCATTCTCTGTGTAATATGCATATCAACATCAGAAGGAGCAACATTGATGATCTTTGAGGAGAGGGTTGGGATTAGAATGATATCTCAATGATTAATTTTATAACTTTCTTCATCACGATCCAAAATCATTCCAAGCCATCGGGGATAAGGAACATATGTTGGCTTCTTGTTCCCAGTAATACTATCTATCAATCGACCAAGAAAGAGTTGATAAAAATCCAATCTTTTGTTGCACACCATGGACTACAAAATGATTTGCTCAAAAATTCAATTGATCTAAGCTCCCAATCTTATGTCTAAGGCATTTATAATTACCCCTGATAGGTACTTCCAACCTACACCAAAACACTAACAAAGAGTGTATTTGGATGGATCACGAGAGGTGCCCTGAAGGGAAAAAATTATACCCTAATGCTTCACAAATGGACTTGCATTTTTCTTCGGAAGGAATTTCAGAATAGTTTTCTGATCAAGGAAGACTAAGAGAAGTTCGATAAGATTCCACATCAATAGTATCCGTAGATTTACTATCTCCATTCGTTCCGGTAATGGTTTGAGCACTAGAATCAACAGAGCACGAACAATAGAATTCACATACTTTCTTTGGGTATAATGGGTCTGGGAAGTCACAGAAGGAATATCGAAGAGGGAAGCTTTTGACATAATGTACGAAGTCTTCAATTTTTTAGTACATGAACTCTTTCAGGATAACATCAGAGAATGATACATTGTACAATGCTTGAATGACAATGGAGAATCAGGAGCATGATGGACTTTGACGACATTTGCATTAGGAGAAAGCTCGAATAGAGCCTTTGACATGATGAGAGCGTGAGCAAGATGATGGTTTAGAGCCTTCTTCGAAAGAGAAAATCAATTGTTTGAATGAATTGTCAAAGTGACCTAGGATAGAGTTTTCCCAATTTATTTGTAAAATTATCTTCCCTTTAACGCAACCAATGATTGATGAGATGGGGGTCGTAAAAATCTCGTATCCCAAGATATTGATAAACCTTTTAATCATCATCCAAAAGTTACCGTTAGGATAAGGAAGTTATATCAGTGAGACGTCGCATCAAAGGAAGCAATCAGCTTATTATAGTTGTAGTTGGTAATCAAGTAAGTTTGTGATGTCTCCTGATAGTATAGGTTGAAACTACCCTTTGCTGACATAGTATTGTGAGATTTCATGAGCGTGTGGTTTCATATGCTGACTCATTGATTACTTTTCTTAGCTGGAAAAAGGGCAAGAGTGGAATGATTCGTGTGATAAGTTGTGGTGTTTTTGCTTAACCATCGACACAAAATTTTCAACCTCTCATTAGCATATGGTACATTACGCTGAATAATAAAGCTTCAAAGAAGAATATAAGAGCAAGAAGGGGTTGGTGTGTGTGATAGTCTATAGTACATAGACTAATAATTGGCACAAAGTTTCAAACTTTTATCAGTGTATGGTATATCACAGTAAATCATAAAGTTTTATTGAAAAGAAATTAAGGAGAGAATAGAGTGTTGCATTCATGCTTAGGTGGAATCAGCGCGAATCATAAATAATAATTAGCTCATTAACAAAAACTGTTTCAGCTTCTGTATCATAGAGTTGAGTTACAGTATAGAACTTTGATGTTCACCTTCAACTCGTTCAAGGGTACCATGTCATACCTCAGACTAGGAGGTTAAGGACATGAATAACCCTTTATCATTAAAGGACCCGACAATTCATATGTTGATGATGATGAAATCAAGGTAAGCCATTGGATTATGCTCGATGTTTTAGTAGAACATGAGACTTGATGCATACGACAAGCATGCTTTCAGGGAAGGAATCATGTAAGAGACAATTAACCAAAAAAATTAATAAACACCCAAGTCATTCAGTAATTTTTTGATTTGCACAAGGCATCTTCACTTTGAAAGTTTAGTCGATGCTAGACAATCAACGTAAGGGGGTGACTTAATGACATCTCAGCAGATGGTGTGGATGATGAGACACTTAGGTGTTGTTTGTCTTTTTGTTCTTTAAAAACCTCTTCAAACAACTTTTTGTTGTGTGGCGTACCACACATGCTACGCTTTTCCTCTCGCAACAGTTTGTTTTTTGAAAGACTTCAGACTACAAAATATATGTGTGTGTTCTGTGCGACACAACACTTGACTTGTCTCTTCAAACCTCTTCAACTTTCATTTTTTCCAAGTGATTTTTTTTTTTGAAATTGCATATAGCTTATTTTTTTTAACTTTGATTTTTTTTAAAACTTTGATCTACGGATTTGTTATAATTTCATTTTATAATTTTCATAATATTTTATAACTTGATATTTTTTTTTAAACTTTGATTTTTTTAAAAAAAATTTACCGTTTATGTTAATAATATTTTCAGTCTCGGTTGCATGTTTTTTAACATGTTTAATTCTTTTACGAACTTTGTAGATATTGTTTGCAACATTTTCTTAGTTTTTTTTTAATATTTTCTTTTTTATGTTTTTTAAAATTAGTTTTTTTCTCCGAAATAAAACTGATAGTTTCTTTTATATTTTTTAAGATTTTTTAAAGAAATTTGTTATTTTTTGTTTTTTTACATGTTCTTTTTAGTATTCTTTTAATGATTTAATACTAGAATTATTAAAATTTCGGTTTTGAGAACTATTTTCAGTTTATAAAATGAATTTATTTAAATTTCAGTTTACTGCAGC